ATCCCAACATCCCAACATCCCAATATCCATGTCACCAATTGTCCCTTCCAGTCCTCGCTGGGATAAAGCCTGAAGGTGGATGGAGATAAAGATTTTGGGGGCTTTGGCTGGGTCTCCCTGCAAGGGCAGGGTTGAAGAGAGAGTGGGACCCCAGCATTGTCCCCATGGGAAGTGTGCAGGTTTATTCCAAGGGGAAATCATGGAATGGTTGGGTTGGGAAAGACCTTCAAAGGTCATTTAATCCAAACCCCCCCCCCCACCACGAGCAGGGACATATCCAGGATTGAAGAGGCCTACAGGGAACCTGGAGAGGGATTATTCATCAGGAACTGAAGGGACAGGACACAGGGAATGGCTTCCCACTGCCAGAGGTCAAGGCTAGTTGGGATATTGGGAAAAATTCTTCCCTGTGAGGGTGGGGAGGCCCTGGCTCAGGTCACCCAGAGAAGCTGTGGCTGCCCCATCCTTGGAAATGTCCAAGGCCAGGTCGGATGGAGCTTGGAGCAACCTCTCTCCCATGGCAGGGATGTGGAATTAAATCACCTTTAAGGTCCATTCCAACCCATTCCAGGATTCTGTGATCCTGCATCACTTCAGCCTCTCCTGTGTTCATGAAACCTGGATTACTTTTAACGTAGGGATTTTTTTCTGGTGAGGAAGTGAAGAAGTGGAAAAGGATCCATTCCTGCCTGGAAGGGACAATTCTGGATGAGTGTGGCAGGAGCTGGAAAGAGCTTCACCCTCTGGAGAGCACAACCATCCCAACCATTGGAATATCCTCATTTTTCAGTGGCATAACAGCAGGAAAAGGGATATTCCAAAGTGTCACTGAGTGCAGGCAGGGTTAGAGCAAGGCCCTACTCGTCCTTCCAGGGGGATTTTTCCAACAAAACTCTGGAGTCCATTGCTCTTGGAATGATTTCCTGACAGGATGTTGATCTCTCCTCAGGTGTTGGGACTTGAGTGCTGGCAATTTAAAGTGGATTATTCAGGTGCCCATCCTGGCAGCTATCGTGGTGAGTATGGGATGAGTGAGGGGCTGGGAGGCCTTTGGGATCTGGGAGCTGATCCAGAATTTCCTACTCTTTTTTTTTTTTCCCTGTTATCAAAAATCCTGCTTCATAAATAATCCCTGCATTTCCACTTTGAGGGGTTTATGTTTGTCCTGCCTGGAATTTTGACAGCTGAATAGAGCAGAAGGGTTTGTGAGTGACTTCAAGGAGAGAAAAATCCCACATTTTTAGGGCTAAGACCCTAAAATCATTAATGAAACCAACATTCAAGGCAATATTTCCAACCCAGATGGTCCTGGAAACTCTCAGGGGTCATAACATGTTCTGGAGGCATCTCCAGTGGGAAGAGATGGAATTTGGGGTCTGTAGCTGGACCAAAGCTTTTCCCAGGCATGTTTCAGGGTCATCCCATTCTTTCTGAACTGATAAAAGTTTGGGAAGCCCGAGGTGGGAAGGGGAATGAAACCATCCCAGTTTTGACTGGATCTTTAATCACTTTGGATTATTCCAACCCCCAGCCAGGAGCCAGAGGGGAAAGGAAAGATCCAAGGGACATTATCCCAACACAGGAGGAGCTCTCCAGAGCTGGAGAGGGGATTATAAGATTTAATTATCTGCACCAGATGAATTCAATTATGTCCTAATTAATGAATTCATTCATTATCCTCTTCCCCCCCCCCCCTCTTTATTTGGGGTTCTCCATTGCTCCATCTCCTGATGGAATCCACGAGCTCATGCCCTCCCCTCAAAATCCCACCTCCCTTTCCACTCATCCATGATGGAGTGGAGCTGGTAGGAATCTCTCCACATTCCCGAGGGTTTGGGATCAGGCTCTTCCTCCTGCCTCACCAATCAGGAGGCCTTGGGAGGTGCTCAGTGTGGGTGAGAAGAACACCAGACACACAAAGAGCAGGAGATTTTTCTGGGGTGGATGTGCTCATCCGTGCCATTAGGTGAGACTTTTGGGGGTTGGGGGAGGGCCTGGATTTCATCCATTCCGTGGAAATTCTCCACCTGGCTGCAGCAATTCCTTGGAAGAAACGCTGAGACCACATCTTTGGAAATGGAGCAGCAGAGGCCGGAGAAGAAAGTTCAGATGGTTCAATTAAACGAATTCCAGCAACCCCATTGCATTTCATTTAAAGGCCAATTAGCAGAGGAGAAAGAGCCCAATTGAGGCTCATCCTTGGAAAAATCAGGTTTCTCCAGGAGGCTGTGCCTGTGCCCTGGCAATTTGCAAGTGCAGCTGTTTATTATGCAAAAATATTCCGTGGGTTGTGTCTGTTTAATTTCTGTGGGTTCGTATTGTTCACTTGGCTGCTTCTGCCATTCCCACGTTGCTGGAATAAGTCCTGCCTTTTCTGGATGAGGTTTTGGAGGCTGGGAGGTTTAAAATCTCTCCACTTTCTGCTAATTTGGATGGGATTCCTTTGTCTGGATTTCTTTTTGAATTTAGCACATTTGGGGAAAGCAGAGGAGTTTCCCTCCTCGGTGTGATAAGGTTGGGCATCTTTAATTTTGCTGACAAATGCAGAACAAGATCCCACTTTGGAGCCTTTAAAGCTGGAAAAGCTCCTGTAGAGACACAAATCCTGCTTGGTTTTTCCCTTCCAGATGGTTTCCCAGGAATTAAATGCCCCCCAGGCTCTGTGCTTCCCTGCCTGTTGGTCTGTTCGTTCCTCCCTTATAATTCCTGTGCCAGTCAGGAAATTTCAGCCAAATGAAACTCAGGGAATGGGTTTGCAGGGATGTAAAATTCCCACAAACCTCATGAAAACAGGGATATGGATACAGGAGAGAATTTTCACTCATATCCCAGTGATGGAAAGGTATGGCACCACCTTCCCTGCTTTTTTTATGGAGAACAGTTCCAAATGAACTGGAATGAAAAGGAATAGGAATCCAACCACAGGAGACAAAGCCATGGCAAACCAGACCCTGCTGGTCCAGCAGCTCAGGGAATTCCCGACTTTATCAGGAAGAATAAGTGACCTTGGGAGCCACTCTCCCATGGTTGTGGTGGGATCTCTGCCATGGAAATGCTGGAACACGGATCTGCTCTGGCTCCAACCAAAATGAATCCAAGGAAGTCTCCTGGACCGTCCAGCTTGAGGTGGTCCCTCCCTGAGACTCCAAGCCTGTGTGTGGTGTGGGAATTCGGTGTCTTGAAATGCTGAAGGCTCCGGAGGAATCCACAGGGGTTTATCCAACGGCGTGGATCTGCTCGGTGCCGTTACAGCACGGGTCTGCCTCCACCCTCTCCATAACCCATGGGTGGGTTTGGCTGGGCCAGCAGCTGCTGGAATCCAGGGAAACCGAGCTCTGAAGAGCTCTGCAAAGACGGGAATCTCCCCATCTTTCCTCTCCACGTGGTGCTGCCATCAAATTTCCCTCGGCGTGTTCCTGTAGGACAAGAACGGAATCACGGGGTCGCGGAGGTTGGAGATGTTCTCCCAGATCAAATCCTGCCATTCCCCAGCACCACCACGGTCACCACGA